AACTCGGCCACAAAAAGTTCGGCTGCAGTCAACTCGGCCACAAGTCAACTCGGCCACAAGTTAACTCGGCCACAAGTCAACTCGGCCACAATAATATTGCTGTTATTATTGGTGTCATTGTGTTATTATTATTTTTATTACCGTTAGTTTTAATATCAATTATTAGTCTTAGCATTAACATTATGTATTATTTAAATTTTTGCTGATATTATTATTGTTACCATATAAATAATACAAAATTCTCGATTTTTTAAATTCATATTATTATTATATATTAGTCTTATTATTTTAATAATTAGTAATTTTAAAAATATTGTTATTGGTGTTTTATTGGTATTTTTCTCATATTATTATTATTATTATTATTATTGTTGTTGTTTATTATCGATATTATTACCCTATTATTACTAAGTAGGCCTAGTATTATAAGTATCATAATTATTATTATTATTACTAATTAGTATTACTATTATTATAAAAATAAACGTTATCATTAATTTATTATTGCTGTTATTATTGCTATTATCACCTTCAATGTTATTATCACTAATTAGTATTATTAAAATAGATATATAAATATCGTTATTATTACCATATTATTTCTATTAGTATTGTTAAAATAAATATTACTATTAATATTGTTGTTGTTATCACCTTTATTATCATTATTATGACTAATTAGTATTATTAAAGTAAATATTTGAAAAGGACCGACATGTCACTGGTGAATCACGTCATTGGATGCATCCTTGTCACTGACGGGTTTCAAACATATCCCCCAATGGTCGAACAAATATGAAGGACTGAAGTCTGTCACTCAACAATACCAATTGTTCCTATTGTGGATAATTAATATCAGATGCTGCACCCCACCTAATTTTAACGTAGGCCTAATTCTTGGACGTGGTTCTGAAGAAAATAGTATCGAAATGCACGCCATCGTGCATTCATTTTAGTCGGATTCAAAATAAATGTTTAACATTTTAAAAAAATCATAATGTGGTTTTTCTATTTAAATTTTTTATGATTAGGTCTACAGTATGTACTCATGTTTTATGTCAGTGTTTTAACGTGAACAAAATTAAACATTAATATATGTGTTTTTCTTAATTATTAAGATTGCTTAAATTGTTAATGTTAAAATTGTCAGATTTTATTGCATTCTGTAAGTGGCGGGTTTTCTTTGTTGAATAAGATTACAGTGTGAAGAAATGTATACAACGATCTCACGACGATGTGACGATGATCAGAATTTTACTAAAATATACTGTGTACTTCATTTTAATCATATTGAAGAAAAAGGATGCAGAAA